TTGAGCAGGCAACTTGACTTATCTGAACCTCGATTCTTCATTCTGAAAGGTGCAATGGGCCTCTGCCCCAAAGGGAGCAGGGTTTACATTGTGTGATTCCCATGAGCTCATGCCTGTGGCCCGGGGACTGGACATACAGCAGAGCTCCATAAAGGTAGCTGCCCTTAATTATCACTGGTCCTGTGAAAATACTAGAAAACTCCCTCATCATGCTGAGCTGTTTCCTGTTTCTGAATCTGTGCAGATACCGTGTCTTCTGCCTTGGCAATGGAGTGAACTCCTGTTGATCCTTCAACACCCCTCTCAGACAGTGCCCTGACCAGTGTCAGCTCTCCTTTCTTAGAATGCTCCTCCATATTGGCGGAACAACTGATCTGGAATGTTTCCATTTACTTGTTGATCCTCCACCATGTGACCGTGGGCTCCCAGGGTAGGAGCTGACACATGATTGAAGCGAATCAGCAAGGAAGGGCTAGGGTAATGGTGGGGGTGGGGGGAGGTGGAGGGAGAGGATCTCGGTGGTTGGCCAATGCAGAAGAAAACTTCCATTCATTTAATCATGCATTCATTCCTTCATCCATTTAACAAGTATATACTGACATCCTTCTCTGACAAAAACCACTTGCTAACTTTCTACAGCCTCTAGAATCACACCCAGAAACTCTCCTCCATGGCCCATGAAACCCTGGAGATCCAACCCTGTGTGACCTCGCTGACCTCAGTCTCCCTGTCCCTCTCTGCTCCAGAACTCTGGCTCCCCTTCAGCTCCTCAAGCAAGGCCATGTCCTAGAACGTCCTCTTCCTGGCCTCTCCAGCCTGGCCCCCTGGAGATGCCCTCCCTGCTCGCTCTGTGTAGATGGGGTCTCAGCCCTGCTCGGCATGCCCCGTCTCGGCCCCATGTTTGTCTCCTTCCTCACACAGCCCATACCCCAGACACACTTGTGGGATTAGGTGATTAGCACCCGCCTCCTCACTAGGCTGTGAACTCCCCACTCCCCAGCCCTCTCAACCTCTCTGCTGCCTGCCAGAGAGGCCTCGCCTTCAGAAAGCTGCCTGGAGAGCCCTGGGAGGCCGGAACCAAAGGGGCTCTGGTGAGAGTCTAGGTCCACCTCCTTGTGTTGTAACAATAATAAAAATAATCATAATTCCAACAATAACAATAGCTAACACTTCCCACGTGCCAGGCATTGCTCTTTCCGTGCTCGGTTTTCTGTAATGCGTGCAACCAGCCCCTAAGAGAAGGTTCATTGCATCCCCATCCCCACTTTGCAGAGGAGAAAGCTGAGGCTGGGAGAGGTTGATTCACATTCCTCCCCCGCCGCCCAGGCCACAGAGACTGCACTCTTGGTTAAGCACTGAGCTACCCCACCTGATGACAGATGGTCAGGGAACAGCCACAGCGATGGCAGGGCAGTGACAAGACTGGACTGGGTTGAGATTCCATATTTTTAGCTGTGTGACCTTAGCCGGGCCACATCACCTCTCTGGCCTCAGCTTCCCCAGCTGTAAAGCGGAGGTAAATGCTGTCCCTTTCCTCAGATCAAACGTTCTCAGGAGGGAGGCCTACAGAGCCTTTACTATTGAGGGGAGGGGGCTGGGTGCCGTGGGGGCAGGATTCTAGGGGTCCCCAAACACTGCCTCTGGGCGCACACAAAGCCAGTCCTGCCCAAGGCAGCTCCATGCCTGGTTCCAACAGGACCCCGGCGGGGCAGCGTGAGCCGAGTCAGAAACGCCCCGCCCAGGCTGCGCCCAGTGACCCCACGCGCCCCTCTGCAGAGGGGAGACAACATTGGGGGTGCGCACACCCAAGGGTCCCGGGTGTGCGGCGGGCAGCCCGTGTGCCCCGAGTCGGGCCCTGGGCCACAGGGACCCCCCCCGGCACCCCCAGTCCTGACACCTGCTTCCCTGGCCCCACGGGTCCTGGCAGCGGGAACGGGCGTCTGCTGGAGGCTCCCCTGGGCCGTGCCAACCTCCCGGTGCCCAGACAAAGCCCCCTCCCCCTGGCCTCTGGGGAGGGGGCAGGCGGGAGAGGGAGCCAACAAAGACAGACAGCGGGGCTGCGCCTGGGGCTCGGGGCACCCCCTCCCCGACCTGCCCAGAGCGCCCACACCCCCTCCTGCCACTTGGCCGCTCGGCTGGGGCGCCCAGCATCGTTGCTATGGAGGCAGCTCGGGGGAAGCTGCAGCTGGGTAATTATTGCGAACATCCATCCTGCCTCCTGCCCGCCCGGGAGAGCAGGGGAGCGCGCAGCCGGACCGGGGCAGCCCCTCCTCGCCCGCCGGGTGGCCGCACCCTGGCCTGGCACGGCGCCACCCGAGGTATGCAGGGGAGGCAAGCCGCGCGGGCAGCAGGGGCCCACGGCCGGCCAGGAGCCCCCCCGCCACTTTCGCCCCTGGCTGCCCCCCCCACCTCTGGCCCACCCTTGGAGCTGACCAACCAGCCCGGAACTTGTTTTCGCTAACTATAAACACACACCACACACAAAACCAGCCAGAGAGCCTCCTTTGTTCAAACAGAATCTTCCCTTGGCCTTTTTTGGGGGCAGTGGGAGCCCACAGCGCCCGGTCTGGGTGGCGGCCTCTTACACGGGGACCGTCCCCCAAGATGAGGAGGTGCCCCTGGGGCCCTGCTGTGGGCTCCACTGCCTTCTCGGGCCCAGAAGCTGGCCCTGGCCCCGGTGTCTAAGTATAGCTCAGCCTGGCTGAGCCTGAGGTCACAGCACTCCCGATGGCCTGGGGTGGCCACGCGCAGGGTGACAAGGATCGTCCATCCGTTTGGGGCTCAGACAAGCATTTCGGGAGGCAGGCACAGAGCTGGGCTCCAAGCCCCAGACTGGAGGCAGCATGGCAAGAGGGCCCTGAGCGAGGCTTGATGTAGGTGAGGAGATGTCAGGTGCAAGGGAAGGGGTGGGGTCCAGGCAGAGGGGAAAGGGAGCAGGTACTGTGTGCACCTGGGACAGCCTCTTGTGGGCACGAGTGTGGGTGCCTCTCGGTCAGGATCCAGGGCCCAGGAGCAGTGGGAGGCCACTCGAGCGGGCCAGGGGTCCACAGGCTACAGAGCCCAGGGACACTCTTCCTCTCCTTTGGCCCCTGTTGCCCCCTTGGGGCTCTACACCGGCCGGGACACTTGGCAGAAGGCACCCAGCAGGAGAGATCTGCCTGAATCCTTGATTTCCAAAGGTCTCTGGTGGCAAGGGTGGAAATGGAGGGGGTATGAGGGAGGGGGGGAAGCTGGTGGGGGCCACAGGCAGGGCAAGGCCCCCCTTGGATAGCAGGTTAGAGGAGAAAAGGGAGATGAGACAGGCCTTGGGGGCTGAGAGGGAGTGAGGGCTTGGCCTGCTTCTCCAGGTTTATCCAGGGGTTTGGGCTGCCTGTGTATCCTCCCCAAACCTGGGTCATCGAGGTGCTGACCAGGGCCCTGCTCGGGCGACGGACATGCCAAAATAAGAGGCAGGATGTTGGTTGAAAGAGAGCCCAGGCCTGGCTGGCATACCACCAGATGTCAGGGCCCTGGGGAGAAGGTCATCTGCTCCTTCATCACTGACGGAGGGAAAGGGGCCTGGGCTCCAGCACGGACTTCTGGGTCGGGGCTGTCAGGCCCCGATGGCCTTTGGACCACACACTTACCGTCACGGCAATAAATCTTCCCAATGGGCCAAGTTTTCCATCTGCAAAGCTCTTTCCCACCCGGCGTGTTGCCCTGGCTTCACACAGCCCTGGTGCGAGGCTGGGCAGAGGGGAGCGGCCATTGCAGCCGCCCAGAGCCTGGGGCCTGGAGAAGCGACCTGCTCTGCCCAGGCAGGGAAAGGAGGGGTGGCGATGTCAAGTGCCCCCTACCTGGGGGGTACCTGGCACACTCACTCAGGCTGCAGTGAGAAGGCACCAGGAGCGGAGCTCGGACTTGCGGCTGACCCCCTGGTCCAGGGCTGCTCCGTCCCTGCTGAGACAGAGGCTTAGCAAGGGTCTGGGGCAGGGCCAGGCTGTCTTCTGAGACGAGAAGCCAAGGAGCAGGGGCCCAAGACAAGCATCAACACCCAGAGCAATTCTCCAGTCTGACAGTGAGCACGTCTATCTTATACATGGGGAAACTGAAGTCCTGGCTAGGACCAGACCCCGAGAGCCTATGGTTCCCCGACCCTGGCATAGCTGGAACTGGGTGGGTAAGTCCCGTGGATTCCCAGGGCTCTGAGGGATCCAGTCGTCCAGCAGCGCTTGCATTTCGAATGTGGGAGAAAGAACTCTGGATGCAAATTCAGGAGAGAGCGTTCTGGGCCAGCCTTGCAGCTTATCTCAGCCCCGGGGAGTCGCAGGTCAGCGGGTTAAAGCAGCTCGGGTCCGGAGGGCTGAGGAGGGCACACCACAGCCAGCGCGAGCCATTTCAGAAATCTAGAAGGTGCAAGCGGTGATGATGGTGGGGTGGGGAGCCCCACGCCCCTCATCCTTCATCCCTCCATCTGCTTTTCTCCCTTCCCCCCTCTCTCTCCCCCAGGGCTGGGGGCAGGGCATACCGAGGCGAGTCAGCAGCCCCACTCCTGCCTCCTTGGGGCTCCCTAGTCAGTTTCCTCATCTGCAAGGTGGGCATCGTGGTGGCCATGTCCTGGAGTTGCTGGAAGAGTCAGATGACGCGTATGGACCGCCAGTGGGATGGCAGCTGAGTTAGTGCTGGCGATGGCACTGATGAGAGATGGTAGGCACGGCACTCAGGGCTCCCCCCAACCCCCCCACCCCCGCTCCCAGCTTGCACCTCACACCGTGACCCGCACCGGTCCTCCCTCCCATCAACATGCCAGGTGCACTCCTACCCTGGGCTTTTGTTCAGGCTCTTCTGCCCACCTGGAAGGCCCTTCCCTTCCTCCCAAATCCCACCCATCTCTCCAGATCCCTCACCAAGACACACACACACACACACACACACACACACTCTCCAGCCTTCATTTCTCTTGGGCTCCCTAGGAAGTCAGCACTACCTTCTGGCACATGTTTCATCTCCTTGCAATTCTAGGACCTGGACTCTGGGGCTGTCTTGGTCCGAGTTCCAATCCTGCTCCCCCTCCCTCGGCGCCTCGGCTCCCTCACTTGCGAGGTGGGGGTCACTGCAGCGCCTATTGCGGGCTGTGTCTCTGGCTTGTGTGGGGCCAGGGGCACCTGAGGCGCAGGAGTAAGGAATAGGCCGTTATTATGGTTCTCTTTCTTTTGGTTCCCCCTGTGCTTTCCACCTGCAAGCCCGCCCTTTGTCCCATGCTGCCCGTGTGGCAGGAAGCCTTGGGAAAAAGAGCTCACTCAAGGGGCAGGGCCTTCCCCACGCTGCCTCTTCCTTTAAATGGGGGAGAAAGGTGGGGACTGGGGGGTCTCCCCCCCTTCTCCCTGATATCACCCCAGGCAGGAAGCCACTCAGTAGCAGGACAAACCAAGATGGCTGGAAAGTTCCCCGTAATCCAGGTTTCAAAAGCCATCCCAGTGGAACGACTGGAGGCTTGGGAGGTAAGGATTCTGCTGGGGAGAGACGGTCTGACAGAAAAATGTGACACACTGGGCAGCTCAGCGCTGGTGATGTGCACAGGAACAGGCAGTCTATGTCCTCAGCTCTGGCTTCCCCGGGCTGCACTTCGTTAGTACTTATCGCGAATGTGGTACCCAGCCCCAGTACCCGGCCCCTTTGTTAGTACTTATCGCGAATGCAGTACCCAGCCCCAGTACCCGGCCCCTTTGTTAGTACTTATCGCGGATGCGGTACCCAGCCCCAGTACCCGGCCCCTTTGTTAGTACTTATCGCGGATGCGGTACCCAGCCCCAGTACCCGGCCCCTTTGTTAGTACTTATCGCAAATGCGGTACCCAGCCCCAGTACCCAGCCCCTTTGTTAGTACTTATCGCGGATGCGGTACCCAGGCCCTCCAGTAGTGCTGGGAGGTGAGCCAGGTGCCTGTCCTGAAGAAATCGCTCAATGCACAATGAGGCCTGCCCAAGGCTGATGGTGGAAGCAAAACGATAGAAACCATCTAAATGCTCAGTAAGGGACTGGACAGAGAAATGATGGGTCAGCTCACGTGATGGAATACTGCTCAGCCATTAAAAAGAAGGTGGTTGTATATGTACTGACCCAAAGCAACATCCACTGTACATTCAGTGAAAAGTAAGGCACCTTGCAGAACAAAATATACAGAATGTTACCACTGGCCCAGCACCTCTGCATACACAGTTGGCCCGGATACAGACAAAGGTGTAGTTCCAGCTAGAGATAGACGTGTACATGCAGAGGAAGAGATGCAGATACATACACACACACGATAGTAAGAAGGTTCAAAAGAATACCCACTAACTGCCAGTAATACCTGACGGGAATGCAGCTCAGGAAATGCAGGGGAATTACTTGGGTTTTCATTCGCTACATTTTATTAATGGTTGAGATATTACAATGAGAACATTTTCCTGAAATATGTGCGTCATGCTAAATTTTAAAAAAGAAAAGAGCCTGGCCACGTGTCTGGAAGCTCAAGGCGGGGCTGGGCTGGGCGCTCATGGGAGGCTGGCCGGTGGTGGTCAGGTCCGGGGGATAGTCTCAGGCTGGGTCTGGAGCCTCTTCCTGAACCAGCTGTGGCCCTTTCTCCCCAAGGCCAGAGGCAGAGAGAGCAGGCTTTGGTGGCCGCAGCAGCAGAAGCAGGTTTCCTAGTCTGGAAGTATGTGAAACCTGAGCCATTTACCTTGCAAGATGGGCCTACCTCCACCCCAGGAGGCGGGGAAGGCCCCTGGATCCTGGCAGACGGCCACCTTGGACATGCAGCCACCAAAGTGGGTGAGGGTCCTGTGAGCCCCAGGCCTGCAGTCAGGCTGCCTCGTGGAGCCCACAGATGTCTTCCCAGGATGCTCTTGCACCTGAGCCTGATGAGCACTGGGTCCCTCGCATACCCAGACCGGTGATCAACAAGGTCTCGGGTGGGAGAGGGGAGAAGGCCATTCAAGCGCTTCCTGGGTGCTGGACCCTGAGCTAGGCACTTTTCCTACCCTCTATCTTTGGCCTTTTAATGGTTTAGAATAGTTTTTTTGTTTGTTGGTTTGAATTCTGGACACATAGACGTTGAGGAGGTTTTTCAACCTGATAATGACAATAAAAGGTTAAAATAATTCCAACAAGAAAGGATACATAGTGAAAAGCCAATCTTTTCCCCACCTCCCCAGCCACCCAGTTCCGTCCCCAGAGAATCCATGCACACATGAGCTTGTGTGTGTCTATTCATACCCCTCCTCTGATTCTGGTGGAAGCACTCCACACAAAATATTCTGTACCTTGCTTTTTTCACTAAAAATATGTATCTCAGAGCTTCTTCCAGAGCGGTACCTGTGAGTAGGCTCCTTCTTTTTCATAACTGGACTTCCATGCCACATAGAATTCTTCAATATTCATGTAATCAATCTAGAATTCTTCTCTGACTTTCCTATGTGCATGCTTATGTTCTGCACCACAGCCCCGGGAGGCAGGTGGTTCCCCATGTTACAGATGAGGAAACTAGGGGGACCAACCATCCCTGTTTGCCTAGGACTGAACCAATTTTAACATGGAGAGTCCCCCACCCTGGGAAGACCCTCCTTCCTAGGCAAACCAAGATGGTTGTTCACCCGAAAGGAAACAGAGGCTCAGAGGGGTGGGGGCATTCTCCAAGACCTTGTGGTGGGCCGGCACAGACTCCTGATGGTGATGATGCTGTAGGAGGCCAGTGACAGTATTCCCTCTGAGCCGGCACCTCCGATGGTCCCACAGCAGCCTGGGAGGTGGACTGCGGGGCTCATGGGTGGACTTCGGGGCATCCTGAGCAGAAGCTGCAGCCGCCACCTGGGTTCCATCTCAGCTGCAGGGCTGGCTTGCATGTGGGACTGCCCTGGTCAGCTCCCTCTCAGTTTCCAATCCTGGGCCCAGAACAGACACTCAACAAGTGTTAAGCGAGGAAGAAAATGAATGAATGGATGAATGAAGTACTAGCATTCGTCATCCACATTTTATATATGGAAAAACTGAGGCACAGAGAAGCTAAGTCACTGGCTCAGGGTCACATAGTTCGTAAGCAGTAGGGTCAGGATTTGAATCCAGATGGGGGGCTCCAGAGCCCATGAAACTTTTCTTTCTTCTGCAATGTTCTTGTCTGCATTACCCTGCACGGCACTGCCTGGGCCCCTGCTTCCAGCTTCCTTTCACAAGAGCCCTACCCTCCCTGCTCCTTGCTCCTGGCTCAGGGGTCCTGCTCTGCACCCCCCTAGGTCCCCCTGGACAGGATGCTTGTCTGAAGTCCAATGTCTGCGCTTCAGCCTCCCCCACAGACTTTGCTTCATTTGTTCAATTCATTTGTCCAACTCTCCATTCCTTTGCTCAACAAACATTTACTGAAACTGAAAGGTGCCAGCTCAACCCCCGAGTACTGGAAATTGAGAGATGAATCCAGCCTGGGCCCCGTCCTCGGGGAACAAGGAAAACCAGACAAAGAAGCAGGACTTGTAACCCAGCGAGAAAGCATTCGGATGGAGGTGGCCCGGGCACAGCTGCAGAGGGGATGGCAGTGGGGGCTCCCAGCCTGGGGGCTCCAGGAAAGCTCCTTGGAGAAGCTTATGCCAGCGTCTGGAAAGATGAGGAAGAGTTAGCAAGACAGAGAGAAGGCGGAAGAGAGGAAGCTGGGGGCGGGGGTTGGTAACACGCGGACAAACTGGCCTGGAGGTAGGAGAGAGCATGAGGCATTCAGAAAGTGCAAGTTGTTCCTTACAGCTGGGGCCCAGGCTGTCCTCAGGTGGGGACATATGGCCCTGAGAAACCCACCTCCTCCCCTGGTTACCCAGCCAGCTCTGCACCAGGCAGGTCTTCCAAGAATCTCATGTCTAGGAACTGATCAGAAAAAACACCAAAATAATCAGCCATGAGGACATGGAATTATGTATGGATGGAGGCTGTTTACCATGGTGTTCTTTGTTACAGCAAGCAAGCGCAAACAGTCGCAGTGCCCAGCCATGAGAAATCACCACTTTAGCCAAGAATCCACCACTGGCTGGAGCCATCCGAACGGCTTAGAAATCAAGTTAGCAGAGACTATTTAATGGCACTAGAAAAATGCATCTGATGTAATGTTAAGTAAAAAAACAGCAAGATGTCGGGGCACTTGGCTGGCTCAGTTGGTGGTGCATGTGACTCTTGATCTCAGGGTTGTAAGTTCGAGCCCCATGTTGGGTGTAGAGTTTACTTAAAAATAAAATCTTTAAGGGGCGTCTGGGTGGCTCAGTCATTAAGTGTCTGCCTTTGGCTCAGGTCATGATCCCAGAGTCCTGGGATCGAGTCCCGCGTCGGGCTCCCTGCTCAGCGGGAAGCCCGCTTCTCCCTCTCCCACTCCCCCTGCTTGTGTTCCCTCTCTCGCTGTGTCTCTCTCTGTCAAATAAATAAATAAAATTTTTATAAAAAAATAAAAAATAAAATAAAATAAAATCTTTAAAAGACCACACACAAAAAAACAGGGGTGCCTGGGTGGCTCAGTCAGTTAAGCGTCTGCCTTCGGCTCGGGTCATGATCCCAGGGTCCTGGGACCGAGCCTGGAGTCCAGCTCCCTGCTCAGCGGGGAGCCTGCTTCTCCCTCTGCCTCTGGCCCTCACCCTGCTCGTGCTCTCTGCCTCGCTCTCTCTCTCTCTCAAATAAATAAATAAAATCTTTTTTTAAAAAATCCACAAAAGCCAGCAAGATGCAAACTATTTTATTATTCTGCAAGATGCAAACTATTTTATTATTCTAAGTTAGGAGATATGCATATATAAATACATGAAGATATTGGGAAGAAATGCATCAAATACTAAATAGTGGTTATCTCTGTCTCTGGTGATGGGCTAACCTAGGGCTTGTATTTCCTTTTTTAAATAATTTCCTGTGTTCTCTGATTTTGCAACAGTGGGGCCAGACTCACTTTTATTTTCAGAGACCGATTCAAGGAGACAAGGTCCATGAGGCCACAGCTTCCCCTCTGGTCTCTTTCCAACCCTCCACTGAGCCACACAGAACGACCTGTTGCCTCAACATCCCTGCATCTCCAGCCTCCAGGTTTTTGTCTCTGCTATTCCTCCATCTGAGCGCCCTTCCCTTTCCTTCTCCATCCCCTGCAACTCCCTTGGCCTCCCAGGCCTGCCCCAGGGCCCTTCCTCTGAGGACCTCACACACACAGAGCTCACACACCATCGAAGGTAGGTTTATGTCCCCATAAGCCTGCACCGGGGCCTGGGCTGCTGGAGGGAAGGCCACTGCCTCATCCATGCCCGCCCCAGATGCCTTATATGCGGCCTAGAATTTATTTTTATTTATTCTTCACCAAGACACCCATATACCCTTCCCGTAGATTCTCCACTACTTGCTGTGTAATTCTCTCCCTGGCTTGCTGACCCAGCGCAGACATCTTGGCCAGGGCTGGGGGTCTGGAAGGTGCTTAGCGCTCGCCAGAATGAAGGAAAGAAGGAACGAGGACACGGTATTGCGCTCTCTCCATCATCTGCCTCAGAGAAAACCCTTGCACAGCAAAGCAGGGCTCTTTCTAAAATGCAGACACAGTTACCCACCTGCTTGGAGGCCTGCCGCCCACAGTCAACGCAGCCGATACCCAAGACCCTGGCATCCCTTCCTGCCCCATTGCCCACTGACCCCTGGTGGGCAGTGTTGTCCCCAAACCTGCAGCAACCCCCCCCATGCTGTGGCACTCTGGAGCCTTTCCCTTCCCCGTCCCTCACAAGTGTCCCAGCCTCAGAGAAGCGAGTGGATGCCTCTGCTGACCTTTCCCTGGACCCCTGGTACTGAGGGCAATCTCGGTGAGGGGGGCCACTCGTCCTGGTTTGCACAAGCCTCTCCTGTTCAGCACGGAAAGTCCCGAGTCTCGAGAACACCTCCGTCCCGGGTGGACCCCATGACGGTCACCCTCGCTTCTGCGAACTCTTCCAGGGTGGGTGAGTGTGTTCTCCCCCCATCGCTGGGAGACCCCTGCCTGAGAGCTGCTCAGGCCTCAGAACAGGCCCAAGGAAATGCTTGCTGATGCCTGGGGGAGCTGATGAAAAGACGGAAGGAAGGAAGGAACGAATGAATGAACGAATAACTTCACCTCCTTTAAATCTTTGCTCAGATGTCACCCTCTCCGTGGGCCTTCCCTGGCTGCCCGGTCTCAAAGGACAACCTCTCTGGCACCCTCCCCGGTGTTTTTGTGGCATTTATCACAAACCAGTATTCTCCACATGTCACTCGTCCTTTGCTTTGGGGTCTGTCTCCCGCACGAGCATGTCAGCTCTACCAGGACAGTGGTTTTGCCAGTTGTGTTCGCTGCTCTGTCCCCACAGCCTCGAACAGCAGGTGCTCAGCAGGTATTAGTTGAATAAATGAACGACTGGTGGCTGAATGAGTGGACTGTGCATTTTCCCGCCAAAGGTGGAGCCTCTTGGCCTTCTTTTTCTGCATCTCTTTTTCTGTTTAGTTTGTTCAACAGACATCAGCACCCACCATGTCCGCGCTGGGGGGACGAGGAGGCATGCAAAGCAGAGTGCCCAGTCTAATGGGCTGCTGGTGGGGGGACAGAGATCAGGCTGGGTGTGAGGCCACGGGCCTGGCATTTGGAGATGGGGTCCCTGGGGCAGGACCTTGTGCACTGCAATAGTCCTAATAGGCCAGGATCATGGTAACCATGCCCAAAGTACCTTGAACACTTGCTATGTCTCACCCACCATTCTGAGCACTTTACGCGTATTTTCTCAATGAATTCTCAAATCACTGAGATGTGGTTGTTGTCCCCATTTTGCAGATGAGGAAACTGAGGCTAAGGAGGCTGAGTTACCTTGTCAGGGGGCCACAGCAGCAAGTGGGGAGTCAGAATCAGACTCTGGAGCCAGCTGCTAACCCTGATGCTATAGGGAAGGAAGGAGGCTCAGAGAAGTGGAGTCTGCTCAGAGGCAGGGCTGGGCTCCACAGCATGTCCACAGAACTCCAAAGGCCATCTGGTCCCAGTCGGTGGCTGTCTTGGAGTTGGTGGTAAAGGGGACCAAAGGGAGATGGACAGCAAGGGAGGAAGGGACAAGCAAGGGAGGAGTACAGAGACCAGGCCAGGCCGGTTGGGATGGGGGCTGGGGCCGGGGTGGGGAGTGGGCAACCCGGCCTGGCTGGGGAGATGGGGGCAGGCTTCTCGGCGGCAGTGTCCCCTTCCTCTTCTCTCCTAATAAATGGGTAGGGAAAGTGTGGGCAAACTTCCCATGGACTGGCCACCCATCCGCTGGGTCTGGAGAGGAGTGTGCAAAACCCAGTGTGGGCAACAACCCCATCCTGGGCTCCCTGCAGCTGTCCACCTGACTCACCCCAGTGATACCAAAGCTCACCCCAGGTCAGAAGCTATGCTGAGTGACTCCAGGTAACGAATTTATTCAATGCTTTCACCCACCCATTACAAGGAAATCGAGTTCAGACAGTGGGGTAACTGCCCATGTCACCAGCAGAGCGGGGGTTCCAACCCCAACTATCTGGTTCCGGAGCCTGTGCCCCTCACCCCCTACCCAGGAGGTGTGGCCCTGGCTCACCCCAGCTGCCATGTTGCCAGCCTGTACGTTCAAGCAAACATGGCATTTAAGCCCTTACTGTGTCCCCAGGGCCCAGTAGAGGACCCATGAACACATCCTTATTATTTGAAATCTAGAAGCAGTGATGGGGTGCCTGGGTGGCTCCGTCCGTTAAGCATCCAATTCTTGATTTCGGTTCAGGTCATGATCTCAGGGTCATGGGATCGAGCCCCATGTATGCTTGTCCCTCTCCCTCTGCTCCTCCACCCCCCCAAATAAATAAATAAAATAAAATAAAAAAGAAATCTAGGAGCAGCAACTTCCCCCTTGGGCTGCCCCCCCTCCAGGTCTGGGAGATGATAACCCAATCCCTTATTTGGACAGGAGTCAAGCCTTTTCAAAAATGTCCCCTCCTTGGAAGGCAGAAGAGTGGCAAGGACACTGACTTTCAACCAGGCAAACCTGGGAGTGAAACCCAGCTCCACCGTCAGCCGTTTGCAAAGGGCAGGTGACGGCTCAGCGTCTGCATCTGTCATGGGGGGCCGATAATATCATTGTGAGGAGACAGACATCTATGCCAGGCACACAGTAGGTGCTTGGGAGGGTAGCTTCTTTCCATTGAGGGTCACAAAAATCTCCAGGGTCTGTCCCCGACCTCCCTCCCTACTTTTAAACCATGGATGTTTTCAACCACGATGTGTCGGAAACCTACAGAACGGCACAGAAATGAGCTGAGCCTGGTGGGCGTGCTCGAGGCGGGCACAGATGTCATCCTCCACCTTCAGAGCTTTTCCCTCGGGCCGGGGTCTCTACCGCAAGCCTTAAGGGTGCCATCTCCCTCCTTTCGTCCTCACCGCTTCCTCTGGAGGTGGGTCCTTGGGTTACCCTGCCTTACAGATGGAGAGCCTGAGGGTCTGAGAGCCGAGGTGGCTTACCCACGGCCCACAGCCAGTGAGTGGTGGAAGCAGGATGTGGCTTTATGTCCAGGTAGGTTTGCGGACATGGAGAGATGTCAACCATGTGTTATTAAATGAGAAAGCAGCACGGAGGGCAACAGAGTGTAGTTTGGGAGGGTGTCACTAAAATGGAACAGGGGTTGTCGCTAGGTGATAGGATGATGAACCTTCAAATTGTCTTTCTTTTCCTTATCTGTATCGCCTAACTTTTTATAGCAGCTTTATGGAGATAGAATTCACATAGCATACAATTCACTCATTTAGTGTCTGATTCGATGGTTTCTAGCATATTCACGGAGTTGTGCAACCATCACCACTCTTGCTAATATTGTCATCATTCCCTCCACAAAACCCCACTCATTAGCACTCACTCCCCATTTCCCTAAACCCCCGCTAGTAGCCCTAAGCAACCACTTCTTATCTCTACAGATGTGTCTATTCTGGACATTTTATATAAAGTGGATTCCTACAACACGTGGTCCTCTTGTGTGTCTGGCTTCTCCCACTTAGCCTGTCTTCAAGGCGCATCGTGTGATAGCAGGTGTCAGGACTTCATTCCTTTTCGTGGCTAAGAAACATCCCATATTATATTTCTCAATTCATCAGTTGAAAGACATTCAGTTTACTTCTAATTTTTGGCTGTTATGAATAATGCTCCTATTAACATTTGTGTAATATTTATATGTGGACATGTGTTTTCTTTTTTTTTTAAAGATTTTATTTATTTATTTGAGAGAGCGAGAATGTGAGCACAAGTGGTGGGGAGGAGCAGAGGGAGAGGGAGAAGCAGACTCCCCACTGAGCAGGAAGCCTGATGCAGGACTCGATCCCAGGACCCTGAGATCATGACCTGAGCCGAAGGCAGACGCTTAACCAGCTGAGCCACCCAGGTGCCCCTGGATATGCGTTTTCAAGTCTCTTGGGTAAATAGCTAGGAGTGGAATTGCTGGGTCATATGGTAATGCTGTTTAACCTTTTTTTTTTTAAGATTTTATTTATTTACTTGAGAGAGAGAGCGCGCGCACAAGCGAGAGAGCACAAGCAGGGGGAGCAGCAGAGGGAGAGGGGGAAGCAGGCTCCCCACTGAATAGGGAGCCCGATAGGGGGCTGGATCTTATGACCCTTAGATCATGACCTGAGCCGAAGGCAGCTGCCCAGCCAACTGAGCCACCCAGGCGCCCCTGTGTTTAACCTTTTGAGGAACTACCAGTCTGTTTGCCAAAACAATTGTACCATTTTACATGTCACCACAGGGCCCGAGGGCCACAATTTCTCTACATCATCTCCAACCTTGTTATTATCTGTCTTTTTGATGAAAGCCATCCTAGTGGGTATGAAGTAATAGCTCATGTGATTTTGATTTGCATTTCCCTGATGACTAATAATGTTTAACATCTTTCATGTGCCGTTGGCTCTTTGCGTATCTTCTTCAGAGAAATGTCTACTCAGATCCTTTGCCCATTTAAAAAATTGGGTCATTTGTGACTTTATTATTAAATTATTGAAGTAGGATTTGAATCCAAGTCCCGCTCTACTGTCAAGCAATAGATCCTGCCCACACAGTCATGCACCCCGGCCTCCCTGTCAAGGCGATCTGGAAGCACCCCCCTCCCTGGAGTCCTGCCTACCCTCTGGGCAAACGAGGGCCAGCACAGCCGCTGCAGAAGCCAGCCCAGCTGGGGCCAGGCCCGCAACAGGTGTCCAGTGAGTGTCTGTGGATGGACACAGAGGGTCGGACACATGAGTCCATCTTCAGGAATCGGTGAACCAAAGGGGAAGAAAACACACCCAGAACAAAAAGTCCACACTGCAGAGGGAGGAAATGGCCGAGCCCTGCTCCAGGAGTTGGAGATAAAGCCCCGTGGCCAAGAAGCCTCCCTGGCAACTCCTTCTTGGTGGCTGTGACCTATCAGCCTGTTCTTATGTGACTGACTGTTGGCCTGTGCGAGGCTGGGAAGGGGAGGCCCAGCGAGATTAGCAGGGAACTGGAGAGCATATCTGTCCGGAGGGGGGCCGGCAGCGGATCCGTAGGGGCCACAGCTAGTCAGAGCAGAACAGGGCCCCGGGGAATGGGGCCCTGCCGCGTCCTGCTGCCCCCGCCCCAGAAACCCACTGCTTCATCACGAAGAGCACCTGAATCCCCAACACCCAGCTCTGGAATCCAGCGGCCTGGGTTTGAATCCCAGCCTTACCATCTCCTTGCCGGGTGACGCGGGCAATTCCTATCCCTCTCTGAGTCTCGGTTCCCCTCTGAGCATCTCCTGTAAGAATGAAGATAACGAGACCATAAGACAGCCTCTCGGTGGGCGAGGCTGCTGCAGGGGAGGCAGGGGATGGCGGGGCTCTTCAGCTGGGCGCCCTCAGGCCCTGGCCTCAGAGCTGGGAGACTGTCACCCCGTGACATGGGAGCCAGAGACTCTGCCATGAACACGGCCGCACAGCCATCTGCAGGAAGCTTCACCGTCAGACAGACCTGCAGCCTCACCGACCCAGCCGCACGGTGAAGGCAGGCAGGGCGGGGTTGTGTGTGTCGCCCCTCACTCCCGCAGCCCGAGTTCAAATCCCACTCACAAGCTGCGAACTGTGGGGAAGGCCTCTCTGTGCCTCTGTTTACCCGCTAGAGAATGAAGATGACAACCGCGTTTACTCTACAGAACGGCTGGGAAGATTAAATGGGTATAGGGCGCCTGGGTGGCTCAGATGGTTAAGCATCTGCCTTCGGCTCGGGTCATGATCCCAGGGTCCTGGGATCGAGCCCCATGTCTGGCTCCTGGCTCAGCAGGGAGCCTGCTTCTCCCTCTGCCTCTCCCCCTGCTCATGCTCTCTCTCTCTCTATATATATCTCTGTGTCTCGAATGAATAAATAAAATCTTTAAAAAAAAAAGATTAAATGGGTTGATGCAGTAAAATATGCATTAAAGTCTCAGCTTTATTCTTTCTTTTTTTTTTTTAAAGATTTTATTTATTCATTTGAGACACAGAGATACAGAGAGAGAGAGAGAGCATGAAGAGGGGGAGAGGCAGAGGGAGAGGGAGAAGCAGGCTCCCCGCTGAGCCAGGAGTCCGACGTGGGGCTCGATCCCAGGACCCTGGGATCATGACCTGAGCCGAAGGCAGACACTTAACTATCTGGGCCACCCAGGTGCCCCGCTTTATTCTTTCTTAATTGATTTTTTAAGTAATCTCTACACCCCATGTGGGGCTCGAACTCATGACCCCGAGATCAAGAGTCAGATGCTCTTACTGACTGAGCCAGCCAGGTGCCCCAAAGTCTCAGCTTTAAAATAAAGGTTCGAGGGGCGCCTGGGTGGCTCAGTTGGTTGAGCGACTGCCTTCGGCTCAGGTCATGATCCTGGAGTCCTGGGATCGAGTCCCGCATCGGGCTCCCTGCTCGGCAGGGAGTCTGCTTCTCCCTCTGACCCTCCTCCCTCTCATGCTCTCTGTATCTCATTCTCTCTGTCTCAAATAAATAAATAAAATCTTAAAAAAAATAAAATAAAAAAAATAAAGGTTCGGGGCACCTGGGTGGTTCAGTTGGTTAAGCATCTGCCTTCGGCTCAGATCATGATCCCAAGGTCCTGGGATCGAACCCCACGTCGGGCTCCCTGCTCAGCAGGGGAGTCTGTTTCTCCCTCTCCCTCTGTGCTCCCTCTCTCTCTCTCTCAAATAAATAAATAAAAACTTTAAAAAAATAAAATATAAAAAAAAAATAAAATAAAGGTTAGAGGGGTGCCTGTCAGTTAAGTGTCCGACTCTAGACCTCAGCTCAGGTCTTGGTCTCAGGGTCGTGAGTTCAAGCCCCACGTTGGGCTCCATGCTGGTGTGGAGTCTACTAGATAGATAGGTAGGTAGATAGATAGATAGATAGATAGATAGATAGATAGATAGATAGATAGATAGATAGATACATAGATAGATACATAGATAGATACATAGATAGATACATAGATAGATAAGATAAAGGTTAGAGCATCCTCCACGTCCTTCCAACTTATTTGGCCCCCATATCCCCTTTGTGTCCTCCAGGGTCCCCAAGGTTCCTCTAGCTTTCTTATGTGGAGGAGGGTGAGGCTTTCAACCATTCTGGCATTTCCCAAAGTGAGTTCCACAGCCCTCTAAACTCATGAGATGTTGGGGTGCCTGGGCGGCTCAGCCAGTTAAGCAGCTGCCTTCAGCTCAGGTCATGGTCCCAGGGTCCTGGATCGAGTCCCCCATCGGGCTCCCTGCTCCGTGGGCAGCCTGCTTCTCCCTCTCCCTCTGCCTGCCTCTCTGCCTACTTGTTCTCTATGTCAAATAAATAAGTAAAATCTTTTAAAAATAAATAAATAAAATAAACTCACAAGATGCTTTTTGAAAAGATAATTGAAAGGCACCTCCCCGTCAAACAGGCCTGGCTGCCATTGCCCTTCAGCCTCGCACACGGATGGACCCGAGATGCCCTGCGGTGAGGAAACCCAGCAGATGTTCATGTTGGTGTTTTCCCACATTTATTTGACCACGAATGTCCTTTTCTGCCCAATATCAATTTAGCATCTTCCTGGAAAAACACTGATGTCAAGGTCATTTCTAGCTCACAGTTTCCACCTCACAGAAAAGATAGAAGGTTTTCTAAAGATCACCATCCCTGCGCTTGAGAAGCCCCTTCCGGGTTTCAAGCACGGTGGCGCTGGCCCGCAGGAGAGCGCTGCCCAGCCATATGCTCTCAGTCCTGCCCCCCGGTCCAGGAGGATCGGAGTGTGAAGGCCCCTTGGGGACACCCAGCAAGGACGGACCCAGCTCCCTTCCACTTGCTACAGCAGCCTCGGCTCTTACAGACCACACGCAACGCCCAGACATTATCAGGACAGACGGCGGCATCTTCCAGGAGCCTTCTAGAAAAAGGAGTTGCCAAAAAGAGCCTCTGGGGGTTGGGCAAGCCCTGCCTCAGGAAGGGAGAGGTGTCTCAGGCTCCAGAGTCTCCTGGCACCTATGCGGGACGCCCTGGTGACCACCAGGCCCCACTAGCAGGGACAGCACCACTTGCAAATCATCTCTTCCATCTCTGTGTAAATGTTCCAGCAAGTCTAACATTTGGCAACCAAAGTACATATCCCAGACGGCTGTGTGAACACAGGACAAGCGCCAAAGTTTGTCTCCCTATAGGTTTTGGAAAATGAGATTGCTCAGCCAGTATGTGGAGGAGAGTGACGTTTACTGAGCACCTACTACAGATTGTGCATTGTGTCAGAAGCTCTATCTTTACCATGAGATCTCAGTTCTGATAACAGCCCCATTTTATAGATGGGGAAACTGAGGCTCGCAGTGGTGAGGTAACATACCCAGGGACACAGGAGAGCTGGGAGTCACCCCCAGCCTGGTTTTGCCTCCATGGTCCCAGCACTCCCCACTCCACGGTGCCGTTCTGCTGGGATGTATCCCTGGCTGGCATTGCTCCAAGACCCTGGTCCATGCCTCCATCCCAGAGCCCCCTTCTCATTACTAACCCAGGTTCTCAGGGCCTGGGGTGTGAGGAAGGGAACTGGAGGGGAAACTGATATAGTCTGGCCCCTAAGGGTCTGGCCCACATAGTGGAATCTGGTTATTTTAGCCCCCACCAATCTGATCATCCCTGGGGGGCAGGCAGGTTGATAAATCACTTTTCTGAGCCTGCCAAGCTGAAGGCCAGCCACCAGCCTGAGGTGACCCTGTCAGCGTGAAGATCCCCAGGAACCCAGCCTAAGCTGGCACCTGAGCTAAGCACCCCCCCTTTTTAAAAGATTTTATTTATTTGACAGAGAGCGAGAGAGGGAACACAAGCAAGGGGAGTGGGAGAGGGAGAAGCAGGCTTCCCGCTGAGCAGGGAGCCTGATGCGGGGCTCAATCCCAGGACCCTGGGATCATGACCTGAGCCGAAGACAGACGCTTAACACCTGAGCCACCCAGGTGCCCCTGAGCTAAGCCCCTTATCTTTGTGTCACTGTTGCCCACTCCTGGCTGTAGCCTCCTCCCTGCATCCTGCTCCAGCCCCCCACTCACCTTGAAGGGTGCTGGCACTCAGCCTGTTGGCGGGGGCAGGGGGAGACATCACACGAACCTTTTGGAAACCCCTTTCCCCTCCCCTCTCCTGACTCCCCAGAATTCCTGGGCAGCAGCGTGGCTGTGTGCTGGGAGGTAGGGGAGAGTCTCTCTCTCATGGGCAGGCCCCCAGCTCTGTCTGCACAGCTGCAGGGAAGGAAGGCCCCACCTGAGTTCCCGGCACCCTGAACAGCCACCCAGCTGCGCCCTTCCTCCTGCCCATCATGGGAAGGGCCACTGGAGAGGGGGAGGAGCAGTGTCCAGAGCTCTCCCACTGCTCGCACTGCTCCCCAAGCCATCTGAGAGGCAGGCCTCCCGCTCTCTGTCCTCCGTGGGGCCAGACTGCAGGGAAGAGTGACTTGCCCAAGGCCACGAGGCTAGGCAGCAAAGGGCATCACTCCTGGGTCTGGCAGACTCCAGAGTTGGGGTCGTTTCTCCCGGTACAGTGCAGTGGTCAGGGGGTGTGGGTTCTGGAGTGAGACCGCTGGACTCAGGTCCTGGCTCCTCAACCTGCTCACCGGGTCACCTGGGGGCTGGTTACATAACCTCTCTGTGCCTCAGTATCCTCATCTGTACAGTGCTGTCAGGGAATCCTTACGTTTGAGCAGCCTTGGGTGAGTGACAACTTGCCAGTGCTTCAGTTTACTCTGACTTAAAACGGAGAGCTTGATACACATCCAGCAAGGGCTGGTATGAAGATTAAAAAAAGACAACCATGTATCTAGAGCTTTCTGCCAGGTGGTGTCATGGGGCCTGCTGATTGTTTGCTGGTGTTATGGTCAAAGTGCTATCATCCAGACCAGCTCTGGAAGGATACACAAGAAACGGTCTCAGAGGACACCTCTGGGGAGGAAAAGTGGGTGGTGGGGGACCCTAACTTGGTCCTATATGTTGTTTTATACTTTCAGAATTTTGTATTACATACATGTGATATTACTATTACCAAAGTGGGTTATATAACTGTCATACAAAGGTGCTCCCTGGGGCCCCTGGGTGGCTCAGTTGGTTAAGCAACTGCCTTTGGCTCAGGTCATGATCCTGGAGTCCCGGGATCGAGTCCCACATCGGGCTCCCTGCTCAGCGAGGAGTCTGCTTCTCCCTCTGATCCTCCCCCTCTCATGCTCTCTGTCTCCCATTCTCTCTCTCAGATAAATAAATAAAATCTTTTAAAAACAAAAAAACCCAAAAAAACAAAGGTGCTCCCTTGTCATGACACAGGGTCTCATGCTGGCCAGAGACCCCATCCGCTAGTCCTGGCTTCCCCACCCCTCCGTAGCCACACCCAGGCCTTGTCCAGGCCCTGTCTTCCAGCCCACTCCATGTCCCCCAGCAAGACCCCAGCGTGACCTTAAGAGCCAGGAGGCATCTCCTTCTGAGCATAGGCATGTGACAGGGGGCCAGCCGAGTCTCCATCCCTCCACCTGCCCACTGGCTCACTTGTAAGTGAGGTAATCACACTGCCCCACAGGGTAGCTGTAAGGACTAACGTGACGTACTAGAGGAAGGCCTGGCTGGCTCAGTCAGTGGAGTATGTGACTTGATCTCAAAGTCATGAGTTCAAGCCCCATGTTGGGCATAGAGCTTACCTAAAAAAAAGGAGGTATAGATGCCTGGGTGGCTCAGTCAGTTAAGCATCTGCCTTCGGCTCAGGTCATGGTCCCAGGGTTCTGAGACCAAGTCCCACATTGGGCTCCCTGCTTAGTGGGGAGTCTGCTTCTGCCTCTGCCCTTACCCTCTGCTCGTGCTCTCTCTGGCTCTCTCTCTCAAATAAATAAAAAATCTTTTTTTAGGGCTCCTGGGTGGCTCAGTTGGTTAAGCGACTGCCTTCGGCTCAGGTCATGATCCTGGCGTCCCGGGATCGAGTCCCACATCGGGCTCCCTGCTCGGCGGGGAGTCTGCTTCTCCCTCTGACCCTCTTCCCTCTCGTGCTCTCTATCTCTCATTCTCTCTCTCTCAAATAAATAAAAATCTTTAAAAAAAAAAAATCTTTTTAAAAAAAATGAGGTATTAGAGTGCGGGTACAAATCCCTGCTTCCTGTCCTCTGAAAGGGCAAAATGATGTTGAAGGGAAGCTGCCTCTTCCTCTGAGCTCATCTCCCCCACGAGCCTCTCCCACCCTGCAGGTGGACTGCAAACCTCCCAGGGCAACAGGCCTCCCGGCCTTTGCACTTGCCGGTCCCTTCCCTCATCTCCCTGACGTTGGCTTCTTCCCATCACTCAGTTTCTCCCAAGTGTCAGCTCCTCACAGAGGCCCTCCTAGACCACCCCGTCTAAAGTGGCCCCCCCCGTTTGTTTTCTGCATTGTACTTACCATTACCTGAAATTGAGAATTTTTTTAAGGTTTTATTTTATTTGACAGGGAGAGAGAGAAAACACAAGAGAGCATGAGCAGGGGGAGCGAGAGAGGGAGAGGGAGAAGCAGGCTCCCCAGATGAGCAAAGAGCCTGACGCAGGGCTCGATCCTAGGACCCCAGGATTATGACCTCAGCTAAGGCAGATGCTTCACTGACTGAGCCCCTCAGGCGCCCCTGAAACTGTGTTTTTTAAATAAACTTTTTTGGGGGGAATTTTAGATTCACAGAAAAATTGCAAAGACAGTACAGAGGGTTCCCATATACACTTCATCCAGTCTTCTTCATGTCACATCGTCACCTAACCTGACCATGGTACATGTATCAAAACTAAGAAATTAACCCTGGCACATCACCATTAACTAAACTGCAGACTTTGTTCAGATAAAATTGTACTTTCCTTTATTTATTTACTTGTTTTCAACTGCCTCCCCCACTGGAAGGAAAACTCTGAGAAGCAGAGAGGTTGCCATACTTACTCACCAAGTCCCTCCTACCTGGCAATAAATATTGATCGGTAAAAGGAGGGGAAATATTGGCAAAAGCAGCCAATGATTACTAAGGACTCCCTCCGTCATGCACTGTTCTGAGTGCGCTAAACATTGTAAATCATTTAATCCTCAGGACAGCCCAAGAGGTAGCTACTAATTATGGGGAAACTGAGGCACAGCACAGTTTGGTGGCAGGCCGAGGCCACACAGATGGTTAGTACCAGAGTGGACGGACTCCAGGGCTTCCCTCCATACCAGAATAAAGGCCAGTCCTTCCGTGTCCTTAGTCCACACCAGAGCCGGGGGGCCAGCACCCTTCTGTGGGCAGGACACTGAGGCCCCAGGGCAGCTGATTTGCCTGAAGCCACAGGACCGACTGAGGTGCAGGGCTGGGATGGAACCCAAGCCTCCTGCCTCCAGCTGGCTGCGCTGAGGCGGTGACTCCCCGGCTCCGCCCGGAAGGGTGTGAGGCACCGCTCCCAGGGCCACCACCGGCCCCACCCTGCTGCTGGGAAGCAGAGGGCAGCCGGTTCGGCTCCAGTCTGTGGGCTCTCTGCTGTGCACCCCCACTTCCCAGAGGGGCGCTGAGATGCCCCACCACCTCCCTTTGCCCATAGCCTTAGCCTGGGCCTCCATGATCTGACCCCTGGGGAGGCGGGGGTGGAGGAGGGTCCTCTCCATCCTCGAGGAGGTCGCCTTCTGGGGTGGGGGCTAGCTGCGCTCTGGGACAGGGAGGGAAAGGAAGAAATGGTCGTCCCTGTGTGGATGGGGGCGGGGAGAACGGAGCAACAGGGAGGATTATTAGGCTTTTCCCAACACCCTGGGACCAGCTGGAGAGGTGTTGGGCACCTCCCAAAGGGAAAAGCCGTTTCGGAGCCGGTGGGCAGGACCGAGGCCGCCGCCCCCATGCAGCCTGGGTTCCGCCCAGCGCCAGCCAGGCGCAGACTCCAAGCCCTAATAATGTTTGCTGGATGCTTTGAATACAAGCGGCAGTGCCCAGAATCTCCTTGAGGTTTCAGCCAGGCGTGCCCGCCCCATCCCCCCTTCTGGGGAGCAGAATAAGTGGGGGGGGGCGTGTGACAGGGGACACCATGAAGTGGTGGCAGCCTCCGTGAGAAAGGCAGGCTGCTCCACCCAGAGCTGGGGGTAGGGGCGCCTTGTGCACGGCTAATTAAACAGCGACTGTGCTGAATCGGGGCAAGGTTGCTGCTTGCTAATTAAAGGTGCGGGCGGCTTGCCCGGCAAGGAGGGAAGGCAGGAACAGCTCTGGAACCATGTCAAGAGGCCAGGCCAGCAAGGACAGCACTGGCTCTGGGCATTTCTTCCATCCGCGGGCCCTCCCAGCCGGGCCCCACGGCCCCCTCCCCACTTCCCTATCTCTCCTACCCACCTTGCCGGAGCCTGGGGCCTCGGACTTCCCCCTCCTCACCAACCCAAATTGCTTTCCTGATAAGGGCCTGCGCGTTGGGGAGGAGGAGCCTGCTGGTGCCCAAGGTCTGGGCTGGTGGGTGGGCATCATTTCGAACCTCTGAGGTATACTTCCTTTCACCCTACTCCCAAGAACCCCGAGTTGAGGAAATGAGCTCCATCAAGATGGGAGGTTGGCTGGTGTGAACGAGGCCCCACGTGCCCCAGTGTGTGTGAGAGAGAAAGACAGAGATGGAGAGACAGTGTTCCTTTCTGGTCTCAGCACACAAATCTAGAAAAGAGAAGACAGGAAGCAAGGATGTCTGGTCCTCAGAGGTTCCTATATAGTGACAACGAGGTCGCCGACTGCCTGTCCCTGCCCCGCATCTGCTCAGGGCAGGGCGTGGCTCCATGGCTAAGAGCTCCCAGTCCCAGCCCCACCACTTGCCAACTGTATGGCCTTGGGCTCTGTGCTTTGGGTTCCTCATCTGCAAAGCTGAGGATGGTCGCTGAGGGGACCAAGAGAAATAATCCAGGTGAGGCACTTAGTGCAATGTCTGGTCCACAGAACAGGCCCCGAAAATATCAGCCGTTATTATGTGAAAACTCGGGGGACTCGGGTAGGTGTGGCCCAGTGCCCACCTCTCTTCCAGGTGACCTCCTTACCGACACCACAGGTGCAGCCCCCTCGGGATAATTCTGTCGGACGCAGGGAGAGCATGTCCCCCTTCCCAGCAGGGCTGTCGTATTCTCTCTGACCCCCATAGCCTTTTTGAGGGAAGTAGAAGAGTCAAGAAGCAAACAAAATGGATGCTCAGAAAGCTAAGTGACCTGCCCGAAGTCATAAAGCTCAGAAAGGGGCAGAGATGGCCCTGGTCCCTTGAGTGGGAGAAGATGGGCTCACGGTTCCCATGGTAACATCTGTTGAGCTTCTACTGGATGCCAAGTCCTGAACCAGCCAGAGGGACCGAGGGGAACTGGACACTCACTCTGCCTTCAAGAGGACCCGGTCTGGAAGGAAGGAAAACACACCAATAATAGGAATGCAAGGCAAAGGTGGCAGGCATCCAAGCTGGTGCTCCAGTGCCCTCCATGCGAGGGGCTGAGAGCTGCTGCTTTGACCTGGAGCTCGATTTGAAAGCTAAGGTTGTGCTTCTATTGGGAGGGTAAAATCAGCATTGGGGGAGCCTGGAAAGGCTGACAGGGCCCCTCTGGTGCTCCCAGGAGAAGCCTTCACAGAGGGGGTCAGATACTCTGCTCTGGGAAGTGCCTATGGTGCCTGCTTCTGAGGTTTGGGGTCTGTCACTTGAGGTATCTGGCAGCCCCAGATGGTGTGGTTTCAGACACTACACTGTCCAGGACCCACAGCAAGAATCCATCCACGTCCTAAAGGGGCTGTAATGGGTCCCGTCCAGGTGGCCAGTCACTCACCAGTCACTGCCATGCAATGCAGCAGGGGAAGGATGCAGTGCCCATAAGGGGCCCAGAGACAGTAGAAACCTTTCCAGGCTGAGAAAGTCAAGGCCTTTGGCCCTGATGCTGGACACCTGGACCTTAGACAGCCAACCCAAAGCAGGCAAGAATGAGTGAAAGGTCACTGGTCTTGGGGTTGATGTCTCCATCTCCCCTCCTCAGACATCAGGACTCAGCCAGAGGAACGGGGCAAAGGCCCCGGGCAGGTCTAGCCACAAGGAAGCCTGTGCAAGCAAAGCTAGCAGCTTCTTAAAAACACACCTGGCCTCAGCCTCCCCAGGGCCCCCTGCGCGCTAGCTGGGCCAAATGCTGGTCTGGGGCGCCCTCTGGTGGCCACATGGGGCAGTGGCAGACGCTGCCCCGGGTTTAAGGGTGGGTGGTCAGAGTTGGAAACATCAGAGTGGACCGCCTCTCCCACTGCACAGATAGGAAAACCAAGGCCTGGGACTATGGGGGATGGAGAAGGGAGTTACATGCCCAAGGTCATGCAAGTAACCTGCCCAAGTCAGTAGCCAAGCCCAGAACAGAACCCAGACCTCCTTCTGCACCAGTGGCTGTTCTTGGTGGGTCTCAAAGCACCCCCACCAGGGGAGGGTAGACTGAGTGTCCAGGAGGCTCACTCCCCAGTGACCATAGACAACTGGATGGTAGGCAGCTGAGCAGCTATGTGATGGGGTACATAGCACTTCTCCTCTCTGGCCTTGGGTTCCTCACTTCTAAAGCCTGGAGCTACTGCCAAGGGCCATGGGGACTGGGGTCCCTCTCATACACTGCTAATAGTGAGGCTAGAACCAGCCAGCCTTTCAGGAAATCCTAAAATGAACCTTCCTACAGCGAGTATTGGGTATCATACTAATGGTGAAAGACTGGGTGCTTTCCCCCTGAGATCAGGAACAAGATAATTATGTCCACTCTTGCCACTTCTATTCAACATTGTACTGGAAGTTCCAGCCAGGGCACTCAGACAAGGAAAAAAAAAAAAAAAGCATCCAGATTGCAAAGAAAGAAGTACAACTATCTCTATTTTCAGATGGCACGATCTTGTAAATAGAAAATCCTAAAGAATCCACGCACAAAAAGTTAGAACTAATAAATGAGTTCAGCGAGGATGCAGGATACAAGATGAATATACAAAAGTCAATTGTTTCTCTGTGTACTTTGCAATGAACACTTCAAAAATGTAATTAAGCAACTAATTTTGTTTACCCTGCATAAAACACTTACAAATAATTTAACAAAAGAAGCATAAAATTTATACCCTAAAAATCACAACATATTGTTGGAAGAAATTAAAGAAGACCTAAATACATGGAAAAACATCTCTGAAGACCCAATATTATTAAGATAGCAAGACTCCCTAAATTGGTCTTCAGATTCAACACCATCCCCATCAAAATTCCAACTTGCTTCTTTGCAGAAACTGACAAGCTGATCTTAAAATTCTTATGGAAACTCAAGTGACCCCAAACAGCCAAAACAATATTCAAAAAAGAAGAACATTGTTGGAGGGCCCAGAGAAAGCTTTCTACAAAGTTACAGTAGTAAAACAGTGTGGGACTGGCATAGGGATAGGCATATAGATTAATGGAATGGAATCCGAGTCCAAAAATAAGCCCTCACACTTACAGTCAATTGATCTTCAACAAGAGTGCCCAGACAGTTCAGTGGGGAAAGGACAGGCTTTTCAACACATGGTGTTGAGGCTATTAGATACCGACGTGCAAAAAAAAGGAGGCTGGGCACCTTCCTCACACCCCACACAAAAAATTAACTCAAAACGGATCGTAGACCCAAATATAAGCATTAAAACTATAAGACCCTTAGAAGAAAGCATAGGCCTAAATTTTCATGACTTGGATCAGTCAATAATAAGACACAAAAGCATAGAAAAGACAAAAAAAAAAAAAACGACCAGGCAAATTGGACATCATCAAAATAACAAAATTCTGTGTTACAAAGGACATTGTTAAAAAAGTGAAAAGACAGGGTGCCTGGCAGGCTCAGTAGGTGGACCGTGTGACTCTTGATCTCGGGGTTGTGAGTTTGAGCCCCATTTTGGGTGTACAGGGTACTTAAAATAAGACCTAAAAAAAAAAAAAAAAAGAAAGAAAGAAAGTAATGGGAGAAAATATTTGCAAACCATATATCTGATAAGGAACTGTAACCAGAATATATAAAGAACTCTTGCAACTCAATGATAAAAGACAAATAACCAAATTTAAAAACGGGCAAATGATCTGAATAAACATTGACCCAAAGGAGATATACAGATGGTCCATAAGCTCATGAAAAGATGCCCCAAATCACTAGCCATCAGGGAAATGTAAATCAAAACCATGAGATGCTACTTTGCACACGCTAGGTTTGCTATCATCAAAAAAGACAGTGTTGGCAAGGATGTGGAGAAGTCAGAACCCTCCCACACTACTGGTAGGAATGTAAATAGAGCAGCCACCTTGAAAAACAGTCTGGGAGTTCCTCAAAAGATTAAATAGAATTACCGTGTGACCCAGCAGTTCCATACCTGGGAGGCATAGATCCAAGAGAAATTACAACATATGTTTACCCCAAAATTTACATGAATGTTCACAGATGCATTATTCATAATAGCCAAGAAAGTAGAAACAACCCAAATGCCCATCAACTGATGAATGGATAAATAAAATGCGGTCTATCTACACACAGAAATATTATTCAGCAACAAAAAGGAATTAAATACTGGGGCGCCTGGGTGGCTCAGTCAGTTAAGTGTCTGCCTTCGGCTCAGGTCATGATCCCGGGGTCCTGGGATGGAGTCCCAAATCCTCTGGCTCCTTGCTCAGCAGGAAGTCTACTTCTCCCTCTCCCTCCACCCCCTGCTCATGCTTTCTCTCTTTCTCTCAAATAAAAATGAAATTAAATACTGATACAATCTGTGACATGGATAAACCCTGAAAACATATGCTAAGTGAGAGAAGTCAGTCAGAAGAGACCACACATTGTATGATTTCATTTATATGAAAAGTCCATAATGGGCAAACCTATACAGACAGAAAACAGACTCTTTTATAGCAGTGGTTGCCTAGAGCTGGGAGGAGGCCACTGGGGAGAGATGGGTGTGGGGTTCTTTATGGGATGCTGAAAATGTCCTAAAATTGATTGTGGTGATGATCGCACAACTCTGACTATACTAAAAACTAATGAATTGTATGCTTTAAATGGGTGAATTGTATGGCAAGTGAGTCATATCTCAATAAAGCTGTTTAAAAAAAAATGGGGCGCCTGGGTGGCTCAGTCATTGAGCGTCTGCCTTTGGCTCAGGTCATGATCCCAGGGTCCTGGGATTGAGCTCTGCATCGAGCCCCGCATCGGGCTCCCATGCTCAGCGGGAAGCCTGCTTCTCCCTCTCCCACTCCCCCTTGCTTGTGTTCCCTCTCTCGCTGTCTCTCTCTGTCAAATAAATAAATAAAATCTTAAAATAAATAAATAAATAAAAGGGTCTGCCTTTGGCTCAGGCCCTAATCTCAGGGTCCTGGGATTAAGCCCCCTGCCCCTGTTGTTGGGCTTCCTGCTGAGCAGGAAGTCTGCTTCTCCTCTCCCTCTGCCCCTCCCCCCTACACCCCCCCATGCTGTTTCTCTCTCAAATAAATAAAATTTTTAAGAATAAAGGGTCCTGGGGGCGCCTGGGTGGCTCAGTCGTTAAGCGTCTGCCTTCGGCTCAGGTCATGATCACAGGGTCCTGGGATCGAGCCCCGCATCGGGCTCCCTGCTCCGCGGGAAGCCTGCTTCTCCCTCTCCCACTCCCCCTGCTTGTGTTCCTGCTCTCGTTATCTGTCTCTGTCAAATAAATAAATAAAACCTTAAAAAAAAAAGAAATTAATTAATTAATTTAAAAAATACTGTTCTTTGGATCCATGACTCTACTTCTAGAAATTTCTTCTAGGAATTACTCAAGTGCATAAAAACATATGTATAAAGATTTCCATCACAGTATTGTTTGTAATAGCAAAAGTGTGAGAATAACCTAAGTGCCCATCAGTAGGGGAACCAGTCAGTTATGTTCAAGCCTGGGATGGAACCACGGAATCATTAAAAAAAGATTAAAAATGAGAGTCACGCTTACTAACATGGACAAGGCCTATGATACACTGCCAAGTTAAAAAAAAAAAAAAGTTAAAAAAAATAAATCTATAGATTAAAAGGGACTTAAAAGACAGATTTTTTAAGACAAAAATTATAGTATCTAGGGATTCACACTGGGTGATAACTAGCAAGAAAGTGAAGACCTTAAAAGTCACCGCAACAGTGGGGCACCTGGCTGGCTCAGTTGGTGGACTATGATTCTTGATCTCTGGGTCCTGAGTTCAAGCCCCATGTTGGGCATAGAGCTTACTTTAAAAAAAGAAAAAAAGGGGGGGCACCTGGCTGGCTCAGTCGGTAGAGCATGTGACTCTTGATCTCAGGGTCATGAGCTCAAGCCCCATGTTGGGAGTAGAGATTATTTTAAAAAGAAAAAAGTCAGGAACACGGTAACTTTTTGTGGGGAGCTTGGGGGAGGG